CCAACATGGCTTGTGGCACGACCCATATATATAAGCAATTCTATAAACAAAATTCATATAAAATTAAAATTTTAAGTTTTTTGTCAAATTTTTTTAAGTACATAGCTTTGGCTTGATGCACAACCCAACCTAGCCCAAGGCTCGGCCCACTGGCCAATCCGGCCTACAACACAACATGGCACGGGCCTGAGCCATAGGCCGTGCCTGGCCAACCCCCAAAATTTTCACCAGGGAGGGTGGCACGACCCATGACGGCCTGTCGGCCAGCATAGCATGGCCCGCCAATGGGCCGAGCCGATGGCACAACCCACTTTACACCTCTAGTCTACGACTTGTGTCTCTTCAATCTGGCCCTCCTTTCTATTACGGCTTGGCGTTTTTGTCTGAGTCCTCCTCATTACATTATGGTCTTAACTTTTATAAGGAATTTGTTATCCGTTCAAGCATTTTTTTTCTTTGCTCAGTTTGAAAGAAATACAACTACAAATATGTAGAGTGCAAAACCTGATATTTTATATTATTTTAGGGTCCATTTGGTTCGTAGTCGGAATCAAAATCAAAATCCTCTGGAATCAGAATCGGAATGGTCCATTCCCATAGTCTGTTTGGTTCATACAGGAATGGGAATGGGAATTAAAATCAGCAGGAATGGGATTTCATTCCCAAGAGAAGGGCAAGGAATGGCAATTCTCTCAATTGGGGGAATACCATTCCAGCAGAAATTGGAATGAAATTCCGATTCCGCCCAACCAATTGGAATTGGAATAGCCCATTTCGATTCCGATTCCAAACCCCTATTCCTGCAAACCAAACGGACCCTTATATCTATTTATACTGTATATATTTGTATTTGTACTCTTTCCAAACCAAGTCTTGTAGATCAAAAGGGATTATACAAGATGCGGTAGCATGTTGTTAGACATCCCCAAGGGCATTGTGAAACCATGGTTTTCAAGACTAGACCAGACCGAACGGTTGAACCAAAAAAACCAGGAACCAATCACCGTGTTGGTTTGGTTATGACCACCTAGAGCAGAGGTTAACGAGGAGAGTTGGTGACGAAACTTCCATTCAGAGGAGGATGCTTGGATCATTTCCCTTCCCCATTGCCATAGGTATAGAAACTACAGTCAAACAAAAAAAGCACAAAACTGGTGCATGCAATGATGTAACACAAGCGTAACACTTTAAAATTAGACGGTACAATTAAATAGGTTTAAAGTCATATTACATGCCTGTTTAGCGTTTACAACATTGATTATTTCACTATATTCATGCATTTTCATAACATATCTAATAACTTCCTTAATTCACAAATCCTTTAAAATTTTGTGATTTTTTGAATAAGATAAAAAAACATGCGACTATTTAAGTTCAACCAAATACAATTTAATTTCCTTTTAGTTTTGAGAGAAATTCAATTTATATAACCACTCCTTTGTAGATATTAAGCATCTATATCATATAGGGGTGTAAATGGATCAAATTCAAATCGGATCAGGCAATATCTAAATTTGAATGTCTGATTCGATTCAAATTCGATCAGAAAATCTGATACCCAAATTCGATTTGATATCTGACGGATATTAAAAATTAATATTTAAATTCGAATCCGATTCGATTTAAAGTTGATTAATTAATTATTTTAGATAATTAATAAATATATAAAATAAATATTTTATTGATATAAAGTATATAAATATATAAATTAATTATTATATAAAATATTTTATATATTATATATAAAAATTAAATAATCAACCGAATTCAGATATTTATCGAATAGAATCAGGTCATATATGAATTTGAATCCGATTAACTATTCAGTATGAATGAAATATCCGAATTCGACTGATTAAATATTCGAATTATCTGAATTCAATTCAATTATATCGAATATCGAATTCGAAATCGGATTTTTGAATACCGTTGACACCCCTAATACCATATAAGTAGATACTTGCCTTAATATTGCTGCAGGTCATACAAATTTAAGGGTATGCTTGCTTTATAGTCTGAATCAGAATAAAAATCTGAAATGGTCTATTTTCATAGTTTATTTAGTTCAGACAGGAATCAGAATGAGAATTGAAATGGATTGAAATGGGTTGAAATGGATTTCATTCTAGGGGGAGCCACCAGAAATAGGGATGGGACTCTGATTCCATCCACCCAAAACAGTCGGCTATTCCGGTTCTGATTCCAGACCTTATTCCTGCAAACAAAATGGGCCCTAAATATAAGTATCATATTATATAAGGTTTGTCCTGTCTTTACATTCTCTTACACTACTCTTTTTATAATTACATTCCGTGCATTGCCTTTCTAAGAATTGACTTTTTTTTTCACTTTTCTTTGTATGCATTTCCTTGTTTCTTGCTAGTCATGAGAAAGGTTGTTCATCAACAATTTAAAAATTCAAAGCCATGAACAAAAATTCATAAAATGAAGGATCAAAGTATTAATATTGGATATTATATTAAATAAATTAGATGCAGATATCCTTTGGAAACACATTGATGTGGGTGAAAGATATGAAAATACTTAGATATATTAAGAAAATTCATACAAATCACATAAATACATTAATAACACTAAATCTAAAGCTGAATAATATACGAATAATATATAAACACATGAGAAATGTACACTTTAATAAGCTATATGAAGAAAAACATTACAATCAACAATACTTGGAACTCTAGAACATGTACACATCATACAAGTCAATAAATAGTTTCACCAAATTAGGCATCAATGTGGAAGAAGGATTAGTTGAACATGATGGCTGTTAAGCGGGTTGTGGAACCAATGATAATTTTCAATGCCATTAATAAAATACATGGGTCCTGCAACTCTTATAGTGGAGCTCATGAATTTATTACTGGGGTATAATATTATCATTGGTTTCACAACTAGCTGAACAACCGTTGCTTTAAGCTAATCTAAATTAATCAATATGCTTTTGTGTCGATGCAAATTGGACAATATCCACTAATACAACGTGATACAACTTGATGCAAAAGTGTATTGGGTTGATATACATGACTTATAGGATACATACCCAGTTGTGTGATGTATTTTGTTTTTATGGCAATGGATACGAATATGATACATCTCATATTGGAAGTAGACCTGTTCATGGGCCGAGCTCGGGTCGGGCTTTGACTCTTTATTAACAGAAAACTGTTAGGCCCGAGCCCGAGCCCGGCCCGACCAACGGGCCTATAACTTGGGCCCGAGCCCGGCCCTGATAAAAAGCCCTAAGCCCGAGCCCGAGCCCGACCTAATAAAAGAAATTCAAAATTTTCCCTATTCAAATGGACATTTTTTATTTTAATTTAGATGTTTTTCCCCTGAACAATGAACCTGCAAGTGAATCAATGACCTTCTCAAATAAAAAAAATTATTCAAATAGACATCAATAGGATTTTTACTTAGGTTTAACTATAGGTCGGGCCGGGCTGGGCTTTTTGGTCCGAGGTTAAGCCCGCGGGCCAAAAAGCCTGTTCAAGCCCGTCCGGGAGTCGAACCGGCCCGTCGGGCCACCCGACCCATGAACAGGTCTAATTGGAAGTATCATATCTATACAAAATAAAACGTTTAAAGAATTCTCTCCTCATCCGTGGTGATTGACCAGTGTAATATGCATGTATACAATAAACATTAATAATCATATATGATATTGATATTTTTACCACTTTGGCTGTCCGTACATTTGTAATGTGACCCTGAATGACACCTCCAAATGGAACTATAGGCTGCAAATCAATAGCAATAGCAACAATAAGAGGAAGATTGTCATCCCTTGCAAAGTAATGTGAGGATGTAAGAACACTCTTTCGCTGATAGCAGTGCAAAGAAGTAAGGGTGGGATACATAAGAGATGTTGATGAAAGCATGATTGTAAAGGGGCTCAAGGCTTGTCAATGATAGCAGAATGCCAAGTTGCCTAGGCAATAAAATTTCCAAAGAAAAAAAAACTAAAATTATAGGTTAATTCCCTAATTTTTTATACCAACCACTCAGCGATAATGCATATAATTAAAAATATAACCTGAAATTTTGCAACCTAGATTTTCTACTCATTTTTTCTAAGCATTCTCTACCCCTGTGAATTGCAGTCACACATCTCTCAATTCATAATAGAGATGCAAATCATTGTGCATAGAAAAAGTGAGTAGAAAATCCCGTTTGTAAATTTTGTACATATGTTGACTTTGTCCACTACATTAATAGTTAATACAATACTTTCACTTATAAAAAAAGCAATGATCCTTAATAACAACAAATTTTTTTTTGAAGCCTTAATAACAACAAATTTCATTCCAAAGCATAGAAAACAGTTGTATCTAAAAGATATTAGTGTTTTAAATTTATTAATTTCAATATTTTAAGTATAATATATGATATAAAAATATTTAATGGTGCAGTTGCATGCCAAGAAAACTATTAGCAACTAAAGAATACTGTAGTTTTTATCAAATTTTGTATATTCTACATTTTTTTTTTTGTGTTTTTGAGAAAAAAATATTAATGTGATGGATAACCTAATATTCAAGCAGGATATAGGACTTTTTTGAAAGTATTTTGATTAGTATAAAACCATATGTTTCATGAAATCAGCAATTTCAGTTAAGTTTCTCACGTTGAGTTAACGGAGGAAGCGTAGATGCAACAATATTATAAAGTTCAGGGGACGATGGTGCTATTAGAAAAGAGGATATTGAAACCGCAACTGTCAAAAAGTACGGGGAGGTCTCAGAAATTTTATAAAAATACATGCCCCAAGTCGAATCTGGGCATTCGATTAGGGTTTTCTTTTGGTCGGACGAAAGAGGGAATTCAGTTCGAACTTGACACTAATCCTCGACGGCGACCGGGGACAGACGTTATTTGCAGCGGCGGTATGGGTTTTTCTACAATGATTTTTCTTCCAAAATCTAATTTTTTAGCTTGCTGAATTTGCTCCACCGAAGTTATTTGCAGCGGCAAAGCGGCGACTTCTCCTTGCACCGGCGACCTATAGCACACCGAATCCTTTTCTCTCTTCCTCTCTTTGTTGTGACCATTACCAGCGGTGGTTAAGGTATAAAATACACCGAATAATCCTTTTTTTATATTTACTGGACGAAATTCTATGATATATTGATGTTTGATTTTGTGAATGAAATGCTATTGATATTCGATTTTGTGAATCAAATGCTATGCTTATTTTTTTTTTTAATTTTCTTGCTACCATTACCAACGACGGCTACCTATTTGCTATATTTCTAATTTTCTTGTTTCTTGCTTCTTGCTGTATTTTTTAATTTTCTATAAAACGTGAAACCTAAATGCTGTGTAATTCTATATTTCCGTGAGAGCATATCGGCACAATTGTGTAGTGTTGTATATGTGACAAATGCTTTGTTAAATTATTCAAATCCGTAAATTAGTCTATAATAGGCTTAATAATATAATATTCTCTGCAAGTTTGTGCAAATAAATCTTTAGTTTTTCCATATGATTTTTTTGAAAAATTTTCTTGTATTTATTTAAGTTTAATGGTATTTTCATTTTTATAAATATTTTATGATATAATTTCAGAATTTATAAATATTTTCATGTTTCTTATTTTACTATTAAGTAAAATAAGTTAAATTATTCAAAACTACTCGACTTGGCCAAAGCAGTTTTGTTTCCAGGTCAGTTTTCAAAACAAAGATAAAGAGAAGTAAAGCACACAGATTTACGTGGTTTGACTTATACATCCACGGGTGAAAGAGGAGTAGAAATCTACTATAGAATCAACAATGGGGATTATAAAGTTGTGCACAACCTCTCTCACAGAAACCCTAAACCCCAGAACACCCAAAATCTCTTGATTTTCCTCTCAAGCCAAAAGATAAAAATAAAGAAAACCCCAAACTATATAACTTATCATATTTGGGTTGGACCCAAAAGCTAAATATGGATCGGGTCCATATCGCCTCGGGGCTCTGCTGCTGCACCCTTGGTGGTGATTAGTTGTGGGCTACAAACTATACTTCCACCATAAACCACTAAGAAATTTTGCTTTTGGGGTTTCTTAAACTTGATTTTGAGCAGGTCATGAAGCAATTCACAATAAAGAATTCAAGGCACAAAACATAATAAATCTCCACTTTGATTTGAATTCCTTCAAGCATCACGAATAGCAATCTCCCTTCATATTCTCCAAATAAGC